GTGAATTTAATGATTTAAAATGAAGTATACTTCACTAAAGCTCTCCGTGGCCATTTCATTTATCGTCGAGAATCCAATCCGATTACATGACATTTGAAAAATGGCAAAAAGGAGGGAAAATTGAAAAGGAGGGGCTTAGATGTCAAGTGGTAGAGCAGCTGCATATTTAGTCGAAGGTCGTGGGTTCGAACCCAGCTTGTGACACTGACTTTTTTATCTCAACCAAAAACCTTAATTAATTGTAATATATTAATTGGTCAAGCGGACCACGAAATTAGTGAATTTAATTATTTTTGTTTATATTTTTATAACGCCTTCAGATCATATCATTTATCTAGAATCTGGACTTTCCCCAGTATTTTTGTTCACACTAAACTTAAATTTATGCTACATAAATAAATGTCTCAGCTTGTAACCTCGTAGATATCCTAAAATAGTTTTAAGCGAAATAATCAAAAGAAAGTTGTTTTGGTACAATGATATAAATGAAATCTGTGAGAAGAGTAGTTTAAATATAACGGATGTATTGCAGGGTAAAAAAATAAATTGCGAATTTAAGAGATAAAATTAAAAATTTGGTACTTATTGATTATCTTCTTCTATAAAAATTTGGATCGTGTAAGCGTATATGTAAGGTCCGAAATGATTAAAAGTTCGATCAACTTACTTAATAAAGGTTAGAGGTGAGTTATTCTATTTAAATAAATAATACGTATGATGACGGCGTGAAAATTTGCCCGTTGTGGAACCGTGGATGAAAATGTTTATCATTTTGTTGCTTTGTGCCCCATCCTAACTGAACTTATTTTATTTTAATAAATCTGTTGATATTTTTAGAACTTGTTGAATATTTAAATGAAAGAACTTCGGTTGTTTAGTTAAATAGTGTAAAAACTCCTGGAAATACAGAAAATTTAATAATTGAACTTTCAAAGTGTGTACTCTGCAGCTAAATAAGCATTTGTTAATGGCTATTTTATTACAATGTCTCCGATGTAATTTTACATTAATGTTTTGTGCACTTAGATCTAAGTCTGTATGTAGCGAAATCTAATTTTTGGGCTGTTGATTCTAATTTTATTGTATTTGCATTTCATTATTATTTTTATTTTCGTTTATTTCTATCAAGATGATTGTTTTGTTTGTGTTTTATGACCTTGCAGAACGAGTACGTCTAGTGTATAAACAAAGAAAGGAATGTATACTTTATTCTATATTGTGCTTGTATGTGTTAACAAAGACTTTTATTGTTATGATTATATTATTATTATAACGTCTTGGTATTTTAATTTTTATACTTTCTGATTTTTCTTATTCTATTATTAAATTATTTTAAGTATTTATATTTAAGTTATAGTAAATTATATAATCTCGCGATATCAACGAGGCACTATATTAGCCAATAATTAATTATTTATTAATTAAAATAATTAAATCTTGTGTTGCCTCATTTAAAGAACCGTTAAAAGTTGGGTGATTGGTTATCAAATCTAGATTTAATGTTTTTATAAGTTTTTCGTTTTGCTGTTTATAAAAGTAGGCGAAGTTTTCATTCGAATTTAAATTACAATTTCGAGTCATGATCATATTTTAATTGTTTACAATTAAATTGCACATGATTTTGAATAATTTGACTTTTCATGTAGCTTTAAGAGAGAGAAAGAGAGAGAGAGAGAGAGAGAGAGAGAGAGAGAGAGAGAGAGGGGGGGGGAGGGATAGAGAGAAAGAATGAGAAAGAGAAATAGAGAAGGACAACAATTATACATAAATATATAAAAGAGAAATAAAGGGAGTTTGTGTGTGTGTGTGTGTGTGTGTGTTTGAGAGACAGTGAGAGAGAGACATAAAAAGAGAGATAATGAGAAAGAGGAAAGGAGAGAAGGAGATTGGATTTACGAATGGGATTAATATATAGACTGGATAATTTTCAGAAGGATAATAAACATAATTTATGTCATATCATATTCATAATTTTCCTTTTTTTTGACACGCAGTGTTTCATTCCAAAACGTTTTCTGCGATTATAAAAATCTGACCCTATATCTCAGGTCAGAAACTCTAAAACCCACTGATAATTATTTAATTACTTGAAACTTTGTAAAATAATTATTATTTTATTATTATTTACAGATGGTACAATAAATTGACGTATTACTGGGGTATGCACAGGATGTTTGACTACTCGTGTTACCAACTTTGCCCGTAGATTCTACATTCAAAGTGAAACCAAAAGTCCTAGTTAACTACGGTCCGAATCTCAGCAGTTTCGGAGTTATTCCACTTTTTTTATTTTTAAATATTTCACGAATTTGCTTCAAATAAACAATGATAACTCCAAAATTAAAAGGTTTTAGAGAAATTCGTTGATACCCTTGAAAACTACGTTAAATTTCCAATAAAATGTGCGCAATGGTAAACTTGTAAATGTTAATGAAATAAGCGTTTTAGTTGCGAGAATTTTGAACTTTGTTTTTTGAAAGTTGAAAAACTTACTATGGTGATTCTAAACTACTATTTTCAAACCTAGATACTAGGAAATTTCAGAAAACGTGCCCAATTTATTATCCTTTTTAGTGGTGCAATTGCGGTTTTAATTACTTTTTTCAAAGATGAAGAGATTGATGAACGAAAAGAAAAACCACCGTGGTTGAATTATTGATAAGATGGAAGGATTAATAATACTAAAAAATAAAAAACTTAAAGAAATTTGAAATGAATTCATTCAACATTTTTTAATTTTGATTCGAAATGCTCTCTACTCTCCGCATTGAATTTTCGACGCGCTGCCGTCGCTTTAAACCCGCAAAACCCGTTTATCGTGTCAACGTTTCGATCTTCATTGAGACCATCTTCAGGGAGATCATCTAAAACCTACGTCACACCAGTCTGCATCTCACTATTTCCAAATAATCATTGGCTAACGTTCACTGAACACCACACATAACTAAAAACGTTTGGAATCATAAAACTCTTTTATTCCGAAGAATAACAATACAATAATCCTTTAACCAAAGTTGCAGTCATGTTGGTAAATAAGTAAACAAAGTTGCAATATTTCGGATTCGAACCTAAATTTTAAAAAAAGTTTAATATATTTATTCAAAATTTCGTTAGTTTTTTTTTTAAATTTTACACCTTACCAATCCTTCAACCGCGGTTTTTTCTTTTCCTTGATAAATTTCTTCTTCTTTGATCGAAGTAATTAAAAAAGCAATTGCACCACTAAAAAGGATATTAAATGTAGTACGTTTTCTGAAATTTGCTGGTCTCTAGGTTTGTAAATAGATTTTTTCGAAATGGATTTTTTATGATTTCACGACTTTGCTTCCAATAAACAATGATAACTCAAAACTAAAAGGGTTTGGACAAATCCGTTGATACCATTAAAAACTATGTTAAATTTCCAATAAGGTATGATCAATGGTAAACTTGTAAACGTTAGTGAAATAAGCGTTTGAGTAGCGAGAACCTCGAAAAAAAAAATTTTTCAAAGTTGAAAAACATACTACGGTGATTCTAAACTACCATGTACAAATCTGGAGCCCAGCAAATTTAAGAAAACATACTATATTTAATATCCTATTAGTGGTGAAATTACTTTTTTAATTACTTTTTTTTCAAAGACTAACTAAAACTGATCAAGGAAAATTAAAAAACGTGGTAAGGCAAAAAATTTAAAAAACAAGTAAATTTTTAATGAAATTATTTTAAAAAAGTTTAATAAATTCATCAAAATTTCCTTAAGTATTTTATTCATCTTTGAAAAAAGTTTAGAATCACCATAGTAAGTTTTTCAACTTTGACCAAAAAACAATTTACCTTTTAATTTTCGAGCTATCATTGTTTATTTGAAGCAAGATCGTGAAAGCTAAAAAAATCAGAAAAAGCGGAATAACTCCGAAACTGCTGAGATTCAGACGATAGTTAATTAGGGCTTTTTGATTCCATCTTGAATGTAGAATTTACTGGCATAGTTTGTAACACGAGTAGTCAAACACCTTGTATGAGAAAAATAATTCATTTCCCTATGGTCAGAAGGCCTTGATATATCACAGCTCCACGAGAAATTCAGTCAGATTTTATATATTGGATAATGTGTGGTGATTAGTGACAGTTAATCGATAATTATTCAGAAATCGTGAGATGCAGTCTGGTGTGATGTAGGTTTCAGAAAAAACATTTTCTTTATCGTGCCAACGTTTCGATCTTTATTGAGCCCTGAAGATGATCTCAATAAAGATCGAAACGTTGGCACAATAAAGAAAATGTTTTTCTAAAACCTACATCACACCAGACCGCATCTCACGATTTCTGAATAAATATTGGATAATTTTACAAGGTGCATCAACATTAAGATTATTCAATTTCTACTTGACGTTAAGAAAAATAAATAAATCTAGTGAATTTTTTTAAATTAGATTAGTACGTAAGAAAACGTTGATTGTTGTTCTTAAATTAGCTGAAGGACGTTGCACTGCAAGAAAGAAAACAATGACTAATATGTAAGATAATTGGTTCGCGATTAGTCCAATAAAGCAATATATATGTTTGCGGCGTATGAGCAATACAATATTATTATATTATGTTACTATTTGAGATTGATCGTTAAACAATAGTTGATGAAATGAATTAAAACTATCTGATAAGTGTTCGTTTAAAAAAGATAACAGTTTGAGAATGAGTGGTTTTTTGGTAATTTTAGTTTTTACGATGTGTTATATTGTAGAAAAAGGAAGGTGAAGGACGATGATTGTTTTAATGTGTTTTATTTATGTGAATGGATTGGTGAAGATTCGTTGAATGAGTCGACTAATGATGTTTTGGTGTTGAACGAAGATAATCGCGAAGTTTTGTACAGTCGAATTCATTAACCCGTTTGTTTTTTATATAAAAGATGTTAATAAAAAAGAGGAAATAGTTTAGATTAACACAAAGCGGGTAGAAGAAGTGAAAGTGCGATTGAGCGGCGATGGAGAGGGAATAACGGTGGCACCGAGGAGGGGAAGGAACGAGTCTCGGGCGAAGAAGGAAGCCAGTCTTGTTTGCGCCATGGCGCTGTCTGTGCTACTGTCGGTCTTATTGTTGACGTGCGTTTTGACGGACGCGTTTTCCGAGGTGATCGTGTACCGTTGTTGTCCGAAGAACCAGACGCTGAGCCCTTCCTGGGAATGCACGGGAGCGGTGAAAGAAAGGAGCTGGGCACCGGTCGTCTACGTGCAGGACAACGGCACGTTCATCACACCCGGCACCGTCCCCGATACTTGGCGATACAGCGTCCGCCGCCCCGAGTGCAGGGATAAACAGCAAATAGGTTTCTTCAGATCGAAACCCGATCCGCCGGCGTTCGTGACCCTCTTGGACGGCCGGCTTTTGACGAGTCCGTTGTTCAAAGAGGCGTACCAGACGTCCGAGTTCTGCCTCGATCAGACGGGCGCGTTGGTCTGCACCAACTTTACTGACGAGCGGGAAATCCTGATCCCTAAATGCTGCGGCACCGGGGGCTCGTATTCCGAGCGGCAGAAGGCCTGCTTTCTCACCAAAGCGACCCACTGGGAATTCATGCATCTTAACACGGTTCAGAAGTTCCCCGACTGTCCCGGGCAGGGTCCAGACTTCGTCATAGGGGGTAAGCTCAATCTGACACACTGGTTGAAAGAGAACGGCACTCTGGAAGACGACGAAGGGAGAAAGCTGTCGCCCGACGAGTTTTGCCTGGAGAAGATCGAGGAGAACCTAGAAGGTCCGGTGCATGTGTTCACCTGCCCGCCTATCGAAACCGGCTCCAAAAGGCACAACGACATCAGATTCACACTCTATCCTCTGGGCTTTTTCCTGTCCGTCTTCTTCCTCGCCGTGACGCTCATCGCTTCCTGCCTACTTCCTAGCACGTATCACGTACTTCACTGGAGGTGTCAGACGAACCACGTCGCCTGCTTGCTTATCGGCGACCTACTGCTCGCGGTCACTCAACTTTCCGGCGATGCGCTTCAAGGACCCGGCTGTGTTTTCATCGGTGAGTACAGAAAAATTGTCTTCTTTTATCTTAGTACAAACATCAACAATTCCATGTTTTAATCCATACAGAATTTGGATATAGCCGATTAAAAACAAACATTGTTATCTCTTATCAATATTCTAATATTTATCAAGCCATTTTCTGTGCATTATAAACAATAACTTATACACTATAAACTAATAGTACAAAGAATGCTCTTGAACGTGAATTGTTTGAATAACCTCTGGTCTGATCGAAGACTGTGTCAATGGTGGTTAGTGAACAATGAAGATTATGGTCTTCCTTCCATCATCTTTTATGTAAAATCTGTCTTTAAAAATTATAATAGATCAAATTATCGAATCATCTCTCCTTTCTTTCGCTGTCCATGGTCAAAACTCTTAAAAACACTACAAAGTCGATCAAATCTAGCGCCAAAGGAGCAAAAATGAAGCTAAATTCCTTCATTTCTAATAAATATTTTTATGTCGGTTGATAAGAACGAAAGAGCATTTCAAAAAAAAGAAAATAAATAAATCCTCGCCTTTCTCCCGTCAAACAGAGAAAACTTTCTAATGCATTGAAATCCTATTGGCGGAAGAAAGATAAATAAACAAAATTTGTAAACAAAAGCAAAAACAAAAATACAGCAAAGCTTTGCATTTTACAGCAAAATATAAAATCCTAAATTACTAAAACTTGATTTTTTATCGTTTAGAATAATTTGGTCAGTATTGACCTTAAACTGACAAGTCAGTGCCAATAAAAATATACGAATTCAACGATAATCTGTTATTGCTTTATGTTTATATGTTATAGTCATGCTGTTTATTATCTACTATTTTGATTTCTTATTGTAAAATTGATTCTGGGTTTTATAAAGTGATCGCAGGGAGATTAAGCGGCCCACCGCGAAAGATAATACCGTTGATTATCCGGATAAAAAAAAATGTTACGTCCCGTCTCTTGTGTCCGTTTAACTGTTGGTTCACACCGCTTGTCCGTTTCGTTTCGCCGTGACGTGGAAATAAAAAAATTACCGAATGCGCATTCCTCTCTTACCGCACCTGACAGCCCGAAGACGACCGTTTCGTCGGATCGTCCGACGTTGTAATAACATTAAGGCGAGAGAGTCCACCGTGAAATGCAAGTGAAAAATGTATACGATATAGGAAAAAAACCGTTTTTTATATAAAAGTTTTATGAAAGGATATGCACACTGGTCCGAATTCATTAGTGGTATTTATCAAATTATGCAATTTAATTGTACGGGATTTTTCAAATTAATCCAATTTTTATTAAAATAAAGCGTTTTTAGGACAATTAACTGGTTCAGTTTAGGCAAAAGTGTAGATTAGTAAAATACAGTATACACATAAAAACATCCTTCGTTAACTAGTGAAATAGAGTAAAAATTTTAAGTTCTTTCTTCGTTAGTAGTTTATGGAAACTTTACTACACTATTTTATTCATTTTTTGGTAAATAAAGTCTTTTTGTACTAAGGTACATTTTAATAAGAATCAAATTTGCAGAGTAGAGTAAAAACTAGTTATTCTGCTACAATATTTTTAATTTTTTGGGTATTTTTTTAATTTATTCGAAAAGTTTTACAGTTTAATATTTCTTTTTAACTAAAGTATTTTCTGTTTAACTGGTTGTCCTTTAGTTAGTAAATTTTGGGCGCAAGTTCAAAGTAGTAAACAGTAAATAAAACTTATTTAGAAATCGATTAACGGTCACTAATCACCACACATTATTTTATTTATTTTTTGGTAAATAAAGTCTTTTTTGTACTAGGCAAAGGTAGATCAATTTTATTAAGAATCGAACTAGCAGAGTAGAGTAAAAACTAAAGTTATTCTGCTACTATATTTTTAATTTTTTGGGTAATTTTTTAATTTATCCGAAAAGTTTTTCAGTTTAATATTTCTTTTTAAATAAAGTATTTTCTGTTAAACTGGTTGTCCTTTAATTAGTACATTTTGGGCGCATGTTCAAAGTAGTGAGTAGGAAAAAAATTAGAAACAGTTTCAACTGTTTTTTGCTCTTTAAAGTTTTTAATCGAATTTTATTGAAATTTTACTAGATTATTTTATTTATTTTTTGGTAAATACGTCATAGGGCACCATAAATAGTCTTTTTTGTACTAGGCAAAGGTAGATCCATTTTAATAAAAATCAAAGTAGCAAAGTAGAGTAAAAATTAAAGATATTTTCTCCTACTGTTTTTTTTTTAATTTTTGGGTCATTTTTTAATTTATCCGAAATGTTTTAGAGATTAATATTTCTTTTTAAATAAAGTATTTTCTGTTTAACTGCTTGTCCTTTAATTAGTACATTTTTGGCGCAATTTCAAACTAGCGAATAGAGTAAAAACTTACGAACATCCTGTACTGTCTTTTCATTTTTGAATTTGTTAATATGTTAATTATTCGATGGAATTGAACAAGTGATTTTTTCCCTCTAACTTTTTGTTTAAGGATTTCGGGACTTGGTATAGTTAATTGGGTTTTGAGAAAAATCAGTTTTGACGTAGAGTAAAAACTAAAAAACATCCTCAACCGTCTTATTACGTTTGAATAATTTCTTAATTTCTCTAGTTAATATATTGAATTGAAAACTTTTCTTTACTTTTTTAAATTTTTATTGAAATAAACTGGACTTGGTATAATTAATTTGTTTTTTCTTGGGCAAAACTTCAAACTTGTGGAGTAGGCAAAAACTTATTAACGTCCTGTACTTTCTTTTCGCTTTTAATTAATTTTTTTAATTAATCACTTTAAGGTAAGTTATCGGTATAATTTTTTGCTTAAAGATTTTTTGGACTTGATATTATTAATTAGTACGTTTTGAGAAAAAGATCAATGATGTGAAATAGAGTAAAAATCAAAAAAACATCCACAACCTTTTTTTTTTTTCCTTTTGAGTAATTCCTGAATTTCTCTAGTGAATGTGTAAAATTGAAAAACTTTTCATTACTTTTTCTAATTTTTGTTGAAATAAACTGTACTTGGTACAATTAATTTGTTTATGACAAAACTTCTAACTAGTGGAGTAGGCTAAAAATTTATTAACGCCCTGTACTGTCTTTTCTCTTTTGAGTAATTTGTTAGTTTAGCAAATTATTAGATGGAATTATACAAGAGACTTTATCAGTCTAATTTTTTGTGTGTTTAAAGACTGGCTGGACTGGTGAGGTTAATTAGTACGTTTTAGAAAGACCAACGTAGTGAAGTAGACAAAAGCTTAGAAATTAATTTTGCGTACTTCCAAAATTTTATCTAATTATTACATTAAATTGTACAAAACTTTTCACCACTTATTGAAATTTTATTGAAATAAATTGAAATGGAAAATACTTATGAATATCCTATACTGTCTTTTCTTACTTTTGAGTAATTTAGCAAATTATTCGATTGGATTGTACAAAACTTTGCTCACTTTTGAACCATTTTTTAATTTTTAAATTATTCGATGAAATGATATAAATGGATTTACCATTTCGATTTTATTTTTGAAGCCCTTTCTGGACTTGGTGAAGTTACATAATTAGTGTATTTTGTAGAAAATATCCTCAACTTACTTTTTTACTTTTGAGAAAATTCTGAATGTCTTAAATTACTTTGTGGAATTATACACAGTTTCACCAGAGAATATTTTTATGAAATAAAACCACTTCTAGACTTAAAATAGTTACTTTGTAAAGTTACATAATTTTTTGAAGTATTCATGGTTTTTACTTGTTTAATTTTTTTAAATAAAGCTCGTTTTGGTTTTTTTAAAGTTAGTTTATTGGTTTTGTTAATTCGTATCTTTTTCAGGAAATCAATGTAGTGAAGTAGAATTAATACTTAAAAACATCCTCAACACTGTTTTTGACTTTTGATTAATTTCTCAAATTATTCAATGGAATTATACACAAAGTTTCGACAATTAACTTTTTTTAAATAATATATTTCCGGGACTTAAGAAAGTTTCTTTGACACTTGGGGAACAGACCAAAACAGTTAAATAGAGTAAAAATTTGGGAATACCCTTACTGGCCTTATTTATTGGGTTGTCCGGAAAATAATGCAGGATTTTGGTATTAAACAAAAAAAAAGAAACTAGTTACTTTAAAGCAATGTTCTTTAATCAAAATAATTTCCCATACTCTCAATACATTTCTCCCAACGTGTTGGTAACTTATTAATTCCGTCTGAGTAGAATTCAGAATTTTTAGAATTGATAAAGTCAATAAATGCATTTTCCAGTTCCGTTTGATTTTTGAATATTATGTGTTGTAAGTAGTGGTCCAGGTGTCTAAAAAAATGGTAGTCAGTAGGCGAGAGGTCCGGAGAGTAGGGTGGGTGAGGCAAAGTTTCATAGCCAAGCTCCAATAATTTTTGTGACGTTACACGTGACACATGTGGTCGAGCGTTGTCATGCAACAAAATGGGCCCTTTCCGATTGACCAAAGAGGGCTTCATTACTGCCAATTTCTGATGCATGGTATTAATTTGGTTACAGTATGATTCAGCATTGATGGTTTCGCCAGGATTTAAGAAGCTGTAGTGTATTAAACCAAATGAAGCCCACCATACCGTAACCATTACCTTTTTTTGATGAGTTGGGGGCTTTGGAAAATGTATTGGAGCTTCTCCTTTGTCGAGCCACTGTCCAGAACGTCTAGTGTTATCGTAGAGAATCCACTTTTCGTCACATGTAACAATTCTGGCCAGAAATGGGTCATTTTTGTTTCGACAAAGAAGTGATGCACAAACATCAAAGCGCTGATTTTTTTGGCGATCGTTTAATGAGTGTGGAACCCAATTTTCGAGTTTTTTCACTTTTCCAATCGCCTTGAGGTGGTCAGCGACGGTCGTTTTACTGACTTTGAGTTGCTCTGCAAGTTCTCGAACAGTCGTTTTGGGGTTTTCTTCCACCACTGATCGCAGAACATCATCATTAAGAGAGGAAGGCCTTCCACGACCTTCTTCATCTTCAAGGCTGAAATCTCCCTCCCGAAATTTTTTAAA